AATTAATATTAAAAAATATTTTTAATCTATATCATATTTACACATGGTAAAACAACCCTTAGATATATCCATTATTAAAGGGCACGTACTAGATGGTGTGTATAATGTTATAGAACATGCTGAAAATATGTGTATTTGGTTTTTTCTTGTTGAGTAAGACTTTTCAAAGTTGGCGTCTCAGCTAGATTGTCTCGAACGTCTATTAACACATGCATTTACCTGGTCAATGGAAAACATCTCAAAAGTGCGGGCTGGCTGTGCGTTGGATTTTTTCATAAATGAACTTTTTGATTGGAAGGAGACCGCACGTGGTTTGTCAGTTTGTCTACCAGGTTAGAAACAAATATGAATTGTTGAGGCTTTTGTTGTACTTTTGGTGGGACATTACTCGTGTGCATTTTGGTCTTATGGATCATGTTTTCCAAATGCGTAACTAGGTCGCCTTGTTAGTTATAGCTGATGTAGTTACTGTTGGGAACTCTTTTTTCTCACAAAAATTTCCAAACATCAACACAACAATTTATTGGAAAAAACCCAAAGGTTATGTTTGATCGATGGTAGAAACTTTTTTTTTATTATTAAGTTATCGAAATAAAACAAAATTAAATAATTTTTTAAGAAGATAGAATAGTTAAGTTTTAAATTTGATAATAACTTTTAGATATTATTTGGCAAAGACACCAACAATAAGACATTGAGCGGTAGATCAAGGGCATAGCTCTCCTTTCCTCTTTTTCAATTTCCCCTCCACCTCTATTTTCTCTGACGCTTCACCCTCCTTTCATAACCAGCTTCCTCATCAGTGGCTAGGGCTTTCACCAAACAACCCTACCTTCTCCTCCTGCTCGTTGTTCTCTAGCAATAATAATTAGAGGTTTTTTTTTGCTATTAACAAAAAAAAATTTTGCATTAAGTTGGTTTTTTTTGCTATTAACAAAAAAACAGTTTTGCGTTAAGTCCAAACAACGTAGTTTCATTTTGGAAACATTTCCTCAAGTATTGCTCCAAAGCCCTTGTGCTTGTGCCTTGGCAATAACTTTTTAGATGACATATGAAGAAAACTTTGAAAGAGTATAACATTGCACTCAGTGATCAGATTAGGGTGATTTTTTTTAATTCCACGTAACTTTTTTAAAGATACGTAATTCAATACTTTCAATAATTATTTGTTATGATTTACCACAAGAAAAGGCATTTTTACCATAAGCAAGGATCTTTTGCCTTTTCTTGTCATTTTTCATGTCTTTTGACCTCAAATTTTGCACTTATCACAGCACCAATTTAAATTTTGGATTGATGGCATCATTGCTCTATTCTCAAGTAATAGACATTTAGTTGAATGTTGCCAATATTTTAGTCCTACCATTAGTCAATTTGTTTTAATTATTTTTGTACAAGTCAATTGTGATTTGGGTTGGTGGTATTGCATTTCATGTGTTTCTATCCGTGTCACATAATCTTATTATGTGATTACAAAGGAAATTCCACCTTTTACAATAAATTTAGATCACTTCACTTTAAGAGCTTTGCCTTTTAACCATTCAAATTAACAATCTCATTTGAAACAAATCAAAGACCACCCGTCCCAATAATTATTTAAAAAACTGATGCCATTGCACAGGGTTGCCGTTGTGGGCCGACCATCCCCTACAAAGATATTCCAATCGATTTCTTATAACTAAATAGTTAGATTTACTAAAATAATTTAAAAATTAACATTTATAATTTATATAAATAAAATTTTTAATCTAATAATTAATTTTTAAAAATAAAAATTAGAATATACATTTTAGACAAATTCTCAAAAAAATTTATAAAGATAATCTGCAAAATATTTTTCTTATATATATAAATATAATAATGTATATCAATGTTGAATCTTAATATATATAAAAATTTCAATGTTGAATCTTAATATATATATATATAAATTTTATAATATAAAGTGAAGTGTTAAAAGTTTCTAACTTAATAACGTAAATAACTAAATGTATACTCTATCCATTTATTGATACTTAAATTTGAAAGTCAAAAACTCAATAAATTAAACTAATTAAATATTATTACTACATGAATTTGAAAATCTTTGTCACATACCGCAAGCTAAGCTAATGCAGGAGGCTTGGTAAGGGACTGCCAAGGTAGGTGGATTTCTTCAAGGCTTTACTATGAATATCAGGGGATCAACAAGCTTTGTTTCCGAATTGTTGGGAGTGCGGGACTGTCTCTGCCTTTATCTTTTTCCCTGGATACCATTAATCTTTTGGTGGAAATGGATTCCTTTGTAGCAGTTCGTGTTGTTTGTTACTGAACATGGCAGGCACTTCGACCTTGGGGCACTCGATGTCCGAGCCCTTTTGAGTTCTGAGCCAATTTGCCCACTGCAGTCTGAAAAAAAAAAAGGGGGCATTTGCATTAACCCAAGTCATGGGCCTGGTGGGCTAAATGCAAGTCAAGGTCTTATCCTCTTTGGGCGCATTTAACAGTGAACCAACAAAGACTAAGACTTCCAGTTCCAGAGGGACGGGAAACAAAAACAAAAATGGGGAAATGGTGGAAACTTGGGGCGGTGGTAGGGGTGATAGCGATAACCAGAGAGCTGAATCGGCGTTACGGATGGGGTTTTGACAGGGACACTGCTCTCGGCTTGTTCCAGCAATGGTCCGATCGACTGGGGATGTGGGCCATCCCCATTTACGTAGCGCTCCATACCCTCAGCCTGGCGCTTTGCTTGCCCTACGCCGTCTTCTTTGAGGCGGGGGCTTCTATTCTTTTCGGCTTCTTGCCCGCCGTCCTCTGTGTCTTCTCCGCCAAGCTCCTTGGTGCTTCGCTCTCCTTCTGGATCGGAAGGTATAAACTTTCATTTTCTTTCTTTTCTTTTTTTTTTTTTTTGTTTTTTTTTTTTTTTTTTTTTTGTTTACATTGCTTATTTTGCAATAGATCTAAAATTGATTCGTCGATTTAGGAATATTCAAGCAGCATGATCCGACTGAATTTTTTAGATTTGATCTGAAATTGTAATTTTCATAGTTCAGGAATTATTGCAAATGTGGGAATGAAGATATTGCTCTGCTCATAATTTTCTAGGGTTTATGTTCCACTAATGTTGCTGCTGAATATGGGCTGATTTTGAGGGGAAAGAGGAGGTGCAGATAAGGATACAAAACTTTGTCATTCTTTTTTTTTTATTTAAGAATGTACATTTTTTATTTTTAAAATAAGATGCTAAAATTTCAGCTTTTTCTGTTTAAAAATGTTAATTTTGTGTTTTTTCTATTTAAGGATTAATTGGATGGTGACTTGATGTGGCAGATGGCCTTTTTAACCATTTAATTAATTCTGAAATAGAAAAAACACAAAGTTGGTATCCTTATCCTTAAATAGAAAAAATTGAAAATTTAGCGTCCTATCTAGAAACCAGCAGAGTTCACTTTCTTAAATAGAAAAAATGACAGTTTATATCTTTATCTGCACTTTTTCTCAGTTTTGGGCCTTTCAAACTATGAACATATCTACACAGTAATGTAGTACAATTTTCCAACAATATACTTGAGAAGTTTGTATGTTATTTTTAGGCCCTAGTAGTTATTAAGAAATTGTGGATTAAGTTCTGTTTAATTTCAAGGATATAAAGTTTGCCCAATATGTGAACTAGCTATCAATATCTATGTGAATTCCTCATACTCATGAAGTAAATACACAGGATTGATAATTTGGGAATTGCTATAGGGAATGTGACATTCAATCTCATGGGATTGACAACATGAAGATGTTACTTTGACAAGTTACTTTGAAATTACTTAATACTTATGAGAACAGAAGTGTCTTCCAAGAACAAGAAATTGGCTCTTGGATTGTTCATACATTAGACTGAGATCTGTTACTTAGGATGACAAGGGTTTCTTGTAAATTGATAACCAAACATTGTTGGTCAGGTTAGAGGGTTAGAGCTTCATAAATATTTACTGTTTGGCAATCTTCTTTTATCACTTCTTATTATTAATGTAATCTATGAGGAGTTTGTGATCCTTTGCATCTGCTATAAATCAGTTCATGCGATTTTGACTGGGTAAATGAAACTTTAGTAGAGACAAGTCACACAGAAACTTGAGCAAAGTTAGAAACTACCAACAGACTAGAAAATTTTGTGGCAAAACCTTTTCAGAGAATAGCTGAAATGAATAGATGGGTGATCAGAAGCAAGCTTCTTGGTCATAAGATAGACAGATTACGTGTTACAAGAAAAAAAAATGAGGAACTTTACTAATAAAGATATGAAGTAGAAATAATCTCAAAAATGCCAAGCAGCTTGTTTGAAGTTGAGACTTGAGATGGTGACCAAGTTCATGCATCTAATACTTTTTCAACTATCAATGTACATAACTGTTATATAACTATAATTTGAAGCCACCAAGCTCCCCACAGAAAACATAGATAGAGTAAAGATTTCTTTTTTCTTTTTTTCCAAAATCTTGCACTCACTAATGCTTATCTACACTGTAAATGTGCCTCTTCTTTTCTCTAATGCTTCTTCTCTCTAGTATAGATAACATTTTAAAAGTCATCTTGACATTGTTGGTTTCTTTAGGCTAGTTTTCAGGAGTTCAAGTTCAGCATTGGAGTGGGCCCAAAGGAACAAATACTTCCATATTCTTTCTCGAGGAGTTGAACGTGATGGTTGGCGATTTGTCCTTCTTGCTCGTTTCTCACCAATGCCTTCATATGTCATAAATTATGCCTTAGCTGCGACAAAAGTTCGATTCTTAGTGGATTTTCTTCTCCCAACAGTTATTGGATGTCTGCCAATGATATTGCAGAACACTTCCATTGGCAGCCTTGCTGGTGCTGCTGTCTCATCAGCATCTGTCTCCCAGAAGTCTCAGGTTTGGTCATACATTTTTCCTTCACTTGGAATTGTATCAAGCATTCTTATTTCTATGAGGATCAAAAAGTATTCCACTGATATAACCCTGGATGAATCTTCTTCTGGTGACCATACTAACAGTTGCAATAGTTCTGACTCATCCCAAAGCTTAGATGGTAAAGAATGTATCAATGGCCTAAAGAAAGGGCAATAATGCAATTATGAATTTGGTAATAATTGTTTTTCTTAGTCCAAGGGCTTGACTTTCCTTTTCTGTCCTTCACAAGGTAATATCTATAGGGGTTGTTTGGATCACTATTTGTTAAGAATTAGAGTCTGATCATCTTCTTGTCATTTCCATTCATTAGATACTCGATGATACTGTTAAATCTTAAGAAGCTTATTTGAGTGATACTGTTAATGTTGGTAATTTTCCGATCAGCAAAGCTATAAGTCATGTCTCGATGCTGAGATATGCATCATGCCTCTATTTGATATTCTGATAGATATTACGTCAGAATTTTCTTCATTGATATTAGCCTAGTAAGCTGCTGATATGGAGCTCCCAAGTTTCTGTGGATTCATCATTTGGTTCTAATATTTTGTTTAGTGCGTTCAATCATCTTTGAGAGTGATGGAGCTCCCATTGCATTACTTTCCTCTTTAGCTAAGTACTTCCCTGTCTTGATGTGCAGCTCTGTATGTTTCATATTCCTTTGATGAAAATATATGGTCAAATAAATGTTCGTGTAGCTGAATTGCAAGGGGTGGATTATGTCCTCACCTCTTCTAAACATAAGAATGAACTGTAAAGTTTCATTTAATCAGTTTAAAGGAATAATAGCTCCATTCTTTGTTGGGGAACTTTATTTTGCAATCTGAACTACACGGGACTTTAAAACAAGGACTATTGGATGGGAGAGGACCCCAACATCAAGAGATCCAACTCCCATCAATGGAGTGCAATCTTGTATAGTTTCGACTATACTAAACCTTTTTGTCTTTATTAAAAGCATATTTTTGTTTTGGTT